TGTGTGTGTGTGTGTGTGTGTGTGTGTGTGTGTGTGTGTGTGTGTGTGTGTGTGTGTGTGTGTGTGTGTGTGTGTGTGTGTGTGTGTGTGTGTGTGTGTGTGTGTGTGTGTGTGTGTGTGTGTGTGTGTGTGTGTGTGTGTGTGTGTGTGTGTGTGTGTGTGTGCTGTGTGTGTGTGTGTGTGGTTGTGTGTGTGTTGTGTGTGTGTGTGTGTGTGTGTGTGTGTGATGTAAGTCTTACCCCTAACCCCTAACCCAGAGAATGGGCCTATTACTTACTCTAAAGCTCAGTATTTAACGCATTATTAATTGCTGGTTTAATATGGACAGAAAACCCAGAATAGAAACAATAATTTCTGCTTAAAGGAGGGTTAAGGATCAGTAATGTTTGGCTCTGTACAGTTGCCATGCAACAGTAGAGATAAAATAGTCTGTCGGTTAACATTTACAGCAGTTTGAAATCAAAGTAAGGCTTGCTGTTTCTGGTCTTTGTGCTAAGCTAAGCTAACGGGTAGTAGCTATTCTGCTATAGCCTTACATTTTATGAACCGACATATTAATGTTCTAATCCAGCTCTCCGCCAGAAAGTAAATACGTTTATCTCACAAAATGACAAACTTTCTTTGAATTAAAACATTTTTCAGTCTGATTGGTGATACGGACTTACCACAGAGTTTCTAGATTTTCTGACAAGGAATTCTAGATAATTGGCTAGCTATAAAGCATTAACCGATGTTTTTAAGTGTTGTGAAATAAGGCTCTCAACTGTGTGTTATAAAATACTCTCCGTCAAAGTGACATCTGCTGGGTCAAGGCTTAGCTATAATCCTATCACTTTGATGAAAACTTCAGCGAACCCAAAGGATGTTTGGCAAAAGTGAAAAGTGATATGTCTGTGGAAAAACGTCAGCACAACAGGCTTAGATGATTAAAGATTTACTTTGAATGTTGCAGCTTAGAATTACCCACTTTTTTTTACCAGCCAGTTTCTGCCGCTTGTCACTCTCCACTTCAAAGTCTTTTATAAATCATGTTAAAACACAGTCTCCTGCTTGTCATCCTCTGATGCGTGCGTCATCATGGATGCTACTTGTTTGTCTGTTGGCTCCTCTCACCAAAGCCTTAATGGAGTCCATTATATCTGTCCCTTTCTGCAGAAAAAAGAACAGCACTGGGAAAGGAGGAAACAAACAAGCTGATTCTAAAGATGTCCTTCACCAGGCTCTCCAAAGACATTCATCTCTACCGCAATCACCTGCTGTAGGAGCTTGTTATATTTATAGAGGTACATTAGTGACCTTTAATGGTCTGCAACTTGTTTGTGAAGATTGTTGTATTCAATTGTGCTTTGCAAATGATTGGGCACACTTCAACAAGTGAGAGCCAATGGCCTAAGAGGGCAAATGTTCTTAACCCTATAGTCTATTATACTCTTGTGGTTTTAGAAAAGCCAACGGATTGTAACTCTAAATCCCATCTAAAAGGCTTCTAGGTTGGATTTGTGTGGCCGAAGCAAAGGTGGTTGCAGCGAAGATAAGCCTCTACCAGGTTAGAAGTCATCCCAACATGGTCCGTGTCTCTCCTCATGTGGACAACACTCCCAACGGTCAAGACTCTGATACTTTTGCTCTGATTTACTGTCAGTCTTTCATTTATTTCATGTGTTTCTGTCTCAAGGAGCGTTTGCATGCATAGCCTACATGTTTCTTGGATATCTCCAGCATAGACAGATGGTATCAACAGAGCGTCGTCTGCTGTGTGGAATATGAATTAGTAGGTTAATACTAGGAATTTACATTTAGAGAGTAGACAAAATCGATAAGCTAATCTGTGTTTGGAAATGCAGCAACAGCAGTTAGCTTGAAATACAGAATAGTATGGTACAACTTCAAGGATAGTAAAAATAAAAATGTAAGAAACGGTATAAATTAAACAACAAGGATTATGTAAAACTGGTTACATATTCACAGATATGAATAATTGTGTGACTCACTGTTAAAATGAACATATTAAATTCACACATCACCCATCCGTGTGAAATCTATTCAACGCATATTTCTGTTCTAATTATAGCCATATATAGTATTCTATTTATTATTGGAAATACCTTCATATAGCAATCCTACATGTACATATATTCCTTGTATCTGAACACCTTGGCAATTAACTAGATTCTGATTCTACGATTTAAAATACCCATCATACATTTCACCAAACTGCAGTTATGCCAATCTTCTCTCTTTCCCTCTCTCCCTCTCTTTTTACCACAAATAAAGTGAAGTCAGGTCTTTGTGTTTAATTCAAAACACAGAGACAATTAATGAACCCCTCATGTCTTTATAGTACATATTAAGCTACATTCATTCTCTGGTTATATCTAAGCATATAGATCCGACTCTTGGCAAAAATGATATCCGACATTTTTTTGTATTTCTTTGACACATACTGATGTTTAGTGTGACTACTTTCCAGATTTCCCCTTTGTACATTTTAGTTATAATGTTACATAAACAGTCTCTTAACTTTTCGTATTGCACCTTAAAATTCCACTACACATGCATGTTATATCATTTTTACTAACTAAATTATCATCTCTGTGGTGTGAGGTAACACTAGACCAGGTTGCCAGATTAGATAAGAGACATTCTTTAAACACCCACACATTCTTATCCTGTTTGTCTGATAAATCTTGGAGACAGCAAGAATACTAAGACTGCCCAGCTGTGGCTTTGTTCCCAGACCACATTGAAAATAAGACTTGAAAAGATTTCTGTGATAATCATATTTTGTTTGTGAGTTCTTTCTCTCTTTTCTCCAAATTAGTTTTTCTCTCTCATCCCCTCTGGAAGCAAAGACCCACGTCCTTTCAATCCTGCAGCAACACAAACACACACACACTATCAAGGGGACTCGCTACAGTCACATCAAACACCAAACCACTCTGCTCTCCACTCCACTTTGCTTCAATTCATTTCACTCCAAAAGCCAGCATGTCAACAGAGCATGGGGGAAAAGGGGTGGGGCTGCGCCAAAACAATAATGCACATGGGAACCAAGGCCCCCCGGCGGGTGATTTGGTTTGTTACATGAGCACTTAGCATTCATTATTTAATCGAATACAAGACTCCTGATTACATCAAGAGTAAACATCTAGAAACCCTGGTTCTTAATCGATGTTCTATCTTATGCATATCCTGGTACATCCACGTAGGATATGTTTTTGGGATTGTATATCATGAGGAGATACTTTAAGAAGATGCAGAAGAAAGCTTACATAAAGCCATTGCTCTTTTGGCAGTCAGTCAGCAGCTCATGTAGCCATAATGGAGAGACTGAGAAAAGCAGTTCTGGAAATGGACAAGGCTTCGGTCCCCTCTTTCAGCCTTTAAGCTGCTTTAGAGGATTGCAGGGTATTTTCTCTCTCCCTCTCTCTAAAACAGACAGCTGATATTGGCTCTAAACCATGACAGGATGGGGCAGAAGCCCTGAGCTTTCTCTGCGCACACACTGGTTAGAGACCCACCAAGCTGCTTTTGTCTTGGCTTTATAATCCACTCTTTGGAGACCAGTGACAGCAGAACCTGCTGCTCCCTGCTGGGGACATGGGACATCTCTCTGCAGCTGACCACAAGACACCCAGGCCGTTAAAGCTAAATATATTACTCTGTGGTTTTTTTCAGCTGTCAATCCCAAAATAAAGTTGTGACATCACTGAATGGACCAGATGTGTACCACACAGGACCGTTTTTAGCTTCATAGACAGCCTGACCATTACAGTTTTCTTTTTTACTCAACCTTTTTATGTATTTGACTGATTTTCATGGTCATGGCTGAATGTCAAAAGGATTCATCGACTTGAGTCTTTCAATAGAGCCAAGAGCAGGGTATTGTAAATGTGAAGTATTTTTATAATTTTAGTTTTCTTGCTTATCCTCATCCAGGTAGTAAAGTGCCTAAGCAAAAAATATCAAATTAATCTTAGCAGTGACAGAAATTAATGCAGACGTCATGTTCACTGTGAAGGTTTCCACAATTCAGGTTTCGAGAGTTTGATCGTAATAATATGGAAATAAATGAGAATCAATATCTTATTTGAAAAATAAAACTTAAACTGCAAGTCACAAATATCAGCATTTTCTTCAGAGATGATCTACTTTCAAAAACACTGCTATGATCCCCTTATGCAATTACGTTGAAATGAATCATTGGAAAATGTAAGTACTTGAATGGCACACCATTTTAATTTAAGACAATTACTAACTTATAACATATTTGTTTAGGCTTTTGCTAATCTTTTTTATAAAATATGTATATTTATTTGCATCCATACATGCTCAGGAGCATTAAACAACTGCACTTTTACAAGCTACAATAAGAGCTTTATTGTCATACGCACAGCTACAGTGTAGATATGCAATGAACAATGTAAATCAGGCTCCTTTAAAAATGCAACATTAGACATACAACAAAATAAAAAAACAATACAAATAGTTCAAGATAATGTTGCAAGACTAATGTGCAAGTAATGCAGGAGAAGTTGACAATATGCAAGTAAATAGAATAAGATGGGGTAAAATAAAACGCTGTACAGCGAAATATAATACTACTTATTGTAATAGATAGTACATATGTGAGATGCAAACAGATTAATGGTATGACGTTGTGAAGGAGAGCTCAGGAGTCAGAACACTCTACCTCAGTCTGCTGGTTTTTGTTACTTCCTTCATGATAGTTTTAACTTTTACTTCTGTTTTAAATACGTTGAGTATTGTTTCTCAAAGTTTACTTGGAAGAGGGGTGTCATTGTATTCAGACAGTAGCACCCACTAGAGGAGAACTGCAATTATCGCAGATTTGTAGTAGTAAGTCTCTCACAATCCACCAGGTGACGCTTTTCAAGCAAACACAATTTTTCCGGACATTCACGAACGTTAACGGAAAAACCCGAGGTGAACCCCGGAAACAGCGTCGTTCCTGGTCACCGACTGTCAGTCAGCCCGTTGTTAGAGCGATATGTTGTTGCTGCTGCTGCGGGCACGGCGGCGTTAAAACTGCACTTTATCTCAAACGGGACTTCAAGATGTATTAAGACGGCGTTCCCACCATCATAAATTAACAGTATTAAGGTATGTAGTTCAGCTGTCACTCGGGAGGCTCTGCACGGGCACTCCTTGGTCGTATTCTGCGTTAGCATGCTAGCGGTGCTAGCCTCTGTATGTCGCTAGTTAGCAAGCCAGATTTACAATGCATGAGATGTGTGTGCGTGTGTGTGTGTGTGTGTGTGTGTGTGTGTGTGTGTGTGTGTGATGTGTGTGTGTGTGTGTGTGTGTGTGTGTGTGTGTGTGTGTGTGTGTGTGTGTGTGTGTGTGTGTGTGTGTGTGTGTGTGTGTGTGTGTGTGTGTGTGTGTGTGTGTGTGTGTGTGTGTGTGTGTGTGTGTGTGTGAATAGTGTTCAGTTTCAGTCACGACCTTTACAGTTATCATTGCAGCAGAGATGTATGGTTAAATCAAAGTAGCCTATTATTTCACTGGATTTGAGGATGGGCAGTGTATAAAATAGAGTTTCCTCCACCCCGATTACATATTTAAACTGTCTCTTATATTTGAGTGAAGTAACTGAACAGAGGCTTCGACCAGCCGGTTGGTTTGGCATCAGGAAGGAGGGAGACTCACATAGTGTTTACGAAAAAACAGCATGTTATTGAAAGTGGTTCTCGGTCAATAGCAGTCATGTCAGTATCTCAGTATAACCACTGGTTATACTGGTGGTTTGGTGGTCAAAAGACAAGCAGTGAATACTTGCAGTGTCACTACTGTACATTGCTATGAATAGCCATAACGATGAGAGTGTTCCCTGGGATTAAAAAGGGAACACTTACACAGTCCTGGACACAATGAAGACTTAAGCAAGCATTTTACAAACTGTGGCCATGTGTGGTAACTGTAAATGTTTTTATATTCAGTTGCCAGTTATAAGTCATAACCATGCCATTCATAACATAATGCAGTGTAATACAACCGACTACTCGAAGACTATATTATAAACATTTCAGTTGAAGCTGTTGGAGAGAAGTGTTGATTCAACTATGTCCATTTCATTGAAAGGTGTTTTTAAGGTTTGGTCTACACTCTAACAAAAGTCATACTGTTCGCAAGTGTTATTAACAGCTTTAGCTTGGTGTATAATAAACTAACAGACTGGGGTTTTTGTGTATTGATATGTTTTGATTCCAACATTAAACACATTTTGTGTGTGTTTGTGGGCCATTTTCCAGGTGTCAGCCTCCATGCCAGGCTTCATATGTACATTATCCTGAATGCTGGTCCAGGAGGTGAACAATAAATCATGTTCTTGTGAGGAGAGAACATAAAAGGTAAGTTACCAACATAAATGTTATCAATTTGTACGTCTTTCATTTCATAGAGCAGAATGTGCAACAAGGGCAAACAGAACAAAGCAACTCATGTTGAATGTCATGTCTGTTTATCTCTTGTGCAAAAGCTGGAAGGGTGGCTTTCCTTATTTTAGCTTACTACTGAGTAGTAGAACATGACTGAACTGTAGGTACCAGAGTGCATTCACTTGATAAGTAATTTGCCACCTGGCTTGTTTCATTCTTCGTTTTGTTTTTCTTTGTCACTGTTTTCAGTAGAATCGACAGTAGGTTGGCCATAAAGCTGTTCTGCAATTTCGAAATGCGACAGTGATACATAAACTCACTTAGCAAATCAAATCCTCTTTCTTTCAGGAATATTTTGGGCTGCTGTTTCATCCCATTGTCATTTACACTAGAGCCAGCCCTTGAAAATACTTTGTGTGATGACTCTGCAACAGGATGAGCCGAATGACACTGAGGCTACTGCTGGTTGTGTATGTCAGAGAGAGGAGAAAAGAGAGATAATGAGAGGGGCGAGACAGAGACCAGGGGCTCTTCTGTGGTTTCCTCTGACTGGGAGGGGCAGGCAGCTGCTGTGGCTTTAATGGACCTCTCTTCCATTGATTGACCACAGGAAGTCAATACGCCTTAAATTAGCCAATAGCGTTTTCTGCTCTGTTAAAAATGATATGATGCTATTTCTTCCCGATGTAAAACAGCACGCTGCTGAGGATTAATGGTAAACAACGCTTTTAGTTATTAAAAAGACTTGTCAAAGCAATGAAAGAGGCATCCTTTGGCAGGCAATTTTACAAGTACATTGAATTCTGACCAGTAATATTTCTTGACATTTTACAGTTTTTATAGTTAGGTTTCACAGACTGTGGGTAAGGGTTTTGTGTTAGTAGACATGTTGTATCTGCTGGTATTGCTAGATGTGGAGCATTTTTCAGCCTATATGGTTCCTTTATTTGTTTTAATGTAAGCTAGTTCAGCCCCTTGTTTCCATTTCCCAACCTACAAAAAAGTGTTTTGTTTCATATCCTGTCATTTTGACACACTGCTCTGATTAGATCCAGCCAGATGAATCAGTCACTACCATTTTCGTAGATCCTGATACATGTCATTTTTGTGATGTCAATGTATTCACTTGGTGATGCTCTTAACAGAAGCCTCAATCATTGTGCTATATTGACTTCCTAAAGCCTGATTGCCAGCCTTCATCTCTTTGATGCAGGAAAGTCTCTTTTTCTGTATAGCAGTTCTGCTGTGGTGGCATCGTTTAGTGCTGCAAACATTCACTCATTCAAACTGTGACGGCTGTTTATTTGGTCCACTCTCATTCTCAAGGCTACTTGCTGACAAAATGATGTGTTTACACTGTACAGTGAATAAATGGGGATTGCTCTGGTATTTTCAACTGCAAGCGCAGCCAAAGTAAACAAATAAACAAAGAATAGAAAAATGTCAGGCTTTTAAAAGCAAACACCAAGGTATTAAACCTGCTGGGATCAGCCTGAGACCTCTCTTGTCTTTCATTATGCACACAGAGAACAAATCTGCTTCTGTTATTTAATAAGGAGATTTTCACGCATACTGTTTATATTTTACAATCATTAAAAAAAAGTATTATGCTGAGGCTCACACATATAGTCTAATGCCATTGATCCATTATTTTCATTCTTTCATAACAGCTATGATTAAAGGCCACTGCAGTGCACACACCCACACTGGTGTTTTTAAATTACTCTCTGACTAATAACACCTGTAGTCAGCTGGGAGTTGGATGAAATTATGTTGAGGTATAACTCTATGTTTGAAGATCAAAAATATGTGGGTGGGGGAACGATGTATGTTGCCCCATAATAACAAGAGACATACATGGGGATGGACTGTGGGGGTCCAGAAGAAAAAACAATTATCATGAGTTAAAGTCACATCAAAGATAATCCTCTTACAGTTTTTGTATATGGTACACACAAAATCAAAAGCTTATTGTGTATTTCATTGTACTAACCTCAATCCCCACTGACATTTTTGTGAGTTTTTTAAAAGCAGCATATTGAACAGCCAATCTCTAAAAGGGTATTATTTTAGCTAGACAGGCAACTTCTCTGCTATCCTTTCCAAATGTAATTGTCTACTGAAGCACAAAAAGCCAATAACACAACACTTTAAAACATGTTTTTTCGCGATATTAGTTCAATCAGGAGAGACGGTTTTGATGTAAGAATACATATTTATTGCCAGGAATACACAAATGAATGTAATGGAGTTTTGGCGATTAGGCCCCGTTGTGCAGGAAGTATCATTCGGGAAGGGAGAACCGATCCGATGAAACCCCCCTGGGGTCTAGACACTGGTGGTGGTGAATGGATAGTTGGGGTCGGTCTGAAGGGGGAGGGGCTTAGCTTGACCCTGGATTCAGAAGGACGGGAGGTGAAAAGGGGTGGAGGAGGGTTGCGTCGAGACACCTGAAATGACAGCTGTCAGAGGGGGGAGAGCAGATTTAAAAGGTTTAGCGGAGCGCTATGATAGGCTTGTGAGAATAGAGCGAAGTGATTGGTTAAGCTGGGGAGTGACGCCCCCGATCACTTATTGAGAGGAGAGAGAGTAGTAACATGGAAATAGTAAATGAATGAGTAAAAGAAGGTCTTCCTGGTTGAACTTGTGCTGAGCTTCATATGTCAACCTTTTCAAGTGATGTCTCTGTCATGTTGGAATTAAATAATAAAACATGTCAGTCCTTATTCTCAGCTCACTAGATGCTCATCAGCCACAGAGGACATGTTTCTGTTCTGTAAAATGTGACCTGACATTGTGCCATTTTGATGTAAGTTGACCCCTCCAAGACCCCTAGATAACTTGTTAGGCATATAAGTGAAAGTCCTGTGTTACATCTTTATTACAGAGACACATTCACACATAGTATAAACTCAGAAGCTGATAGAAAGTGTGTCTTTTTCTAAATGTGTGTTTCTATGTCAGATATTGACATTTAAAGTATACGCCACATAGCGTTTTAAAGTCAGCATTAGAGATTTAAAATCACTTACTATTACATTTTCTGGGAGAACACTATTGGCCTGACACCAGACAAGTCTATAACCGACCCAATTACACCAGCTTAACCAGCCTCTTACTATCTTTCCGGTCTTAATGCATAACAAATAATTGAATAGCCTCTAGCAGGAGACACACAAATTGTACTTCCTTTCAATCAATGTCCATGAACTGGACTCCTTGCTGGATCTCTGTTGTTCTGGCTGCCAGGAAGACATCTTTGTTGGGGTTTGATTTCAGCTTTTTTAAACACATAATGTCCCTCACGTTCATTTTCCATTTTGCAAGCAATTTGGATGACACCCACTCACATGGAAAGTTGAAGAAGCAAGCAGAAACGCACAGCAGTGTGGTGTTTCAATGCTTCCTGTTGGCTGGTCAGCTGAACTGAAAGCTTAGCGCTGCACCACCCATATCACTGGAAATGTCTAATTTGATTCAACTGTTTAAGAGAAGGAAGCAGTTAGTTGCTTCAAAGCATTACATCACAGTCAGCTAGAGTCACAGATAATACAATACACACTTCTACCTAACAACTGGAGTCCATAGTGTGGCTAAATAATGACCGATGCATGAGGTAATGTTAAAACCCAACTCAGTGTAAGCTTGTTATTTCAGCTGTGTCTCCGACTTTTATTTCAGGAATGAAGAGGTTGTATAGACATTTCTGGATTTGTGTCAAAGACAGTTTCATAAAAGCACAACACGTGCATAGTGAGGTTATATTACACACCGTTTATCATTTGTAATTATATGACAGACTATTACAATTTTCAAAGGAATCTCACTGCCATGTCAACATATTATGTATTTTACAACACCCTTTTTTCCCAATTATTATGCAGCAAATGCTATGCAGTTACACTCTTTTACTTCACTTGTGTTATCAGTAGCCTCTCACATTTTATTGTGTTGAAGAAAAAGCTTTGAAAACTTGGATTTCAACACTAAACTCTGTCCTAAATTCTGAAAACAAGAGTTTATAAAATACTTTGATTACGCAGTATCTACACTCTGATTATGTGTGTAAGGACAGGTAGACATTTGTAATCTAAGTTCAAGTTAATCTAACTGTAGCTTAACTTGCAATGCCTTTAACACCAAAGAAAGCTAACATTACAGAATATGGAGTATGTTATTGTGCTGCTTTGGATTATTTGTTTTGTTTGTCTCAGTGAGTCACAGTGAAGCATGCCAGCAGGGGGTCATTTAGTCTACGGATTATTATTAGCCTGTATTCCTCACATGTTCCTCAGCTGCAGGATCAGTTTCCAGAAGGGATCAGCTCGGCTATTGATTTATCTTAAAGCTGCGGACATTGTCTCTCAGGCAGATACCAGCACTCTCTTGTGACCTTGACATTAAAACAGAAGAGAAACTCCAATGACTCATGCGACCCTGAGCATGAAGAGTTAAGACCTTTGCCCTGCAATCTGAACTGTTCAATGATAGTGAAAGTGTTTGTCTGTCTTTGGTTTACGCAAGCTGTCAGGTCCTGGTCAGACTGCCATACAACAGAAAACAAAAATCAGGGTTCTAATGTGATGTTTTCAGATGATATTGAAAACGCTGTGACCTTTGCTCAAGTGTTAACCCAAGGAGACTTGATAAATGTTATTTACTTTAAAGGTGGGGTAGGTAATTTTGGAGAAACCAGCTCGACTGTGCTAAAATTTGAAAATACACAGCCGGAAAAAATCTGCCACTTCCTTACAGAGCCCCTCCTCCAACACACACGAACGCGCACATGACCAATGAGGGCACGAGATAAGTTTGTGCACAGATGGAAGGCTGACAGGCAGGTCGGCCATCCAGTTACTTTAGCCGGGCCGGCTAAAATGATTGGTCGTGCTTTTTACAGTACTACGGCTTCCACAGATGACATTTATTTATGGATTTTTTGTCAAAGCACTTAAGATATTCATTGCTATCGGGATGTTAAGAGCATTCCATGGAATATAACAAAAAGTGTATCTCGAGCCGGTTTCTCAAACTTACCTACCCCACCTTTAAGGCTTGTTTACAATTATTTGTAGGGTTTCTAATGGCCTCTTTAATAAAGCGCCCATCCTTGTATCTTTTATTTTCCTACGTCATCTCTAAGTGGATCTTTATGTATTCATATCAGTCTTTTTCAGTCCCCATCTTTTGGTCATGTTTCAATAGCTTTCTATACAAAAAGCTGCTTGCCATTTGTGTATTGTACCCAACATGCACTAAGCCAATAGTTGTGAAGAACAGTGTGTAGGCCTATTATGGAAATAACTACTGTATATGTGCTGTCTTTTTTTATGTTCTTATTGTGGGAAGACAGTAGCATTGAATTGAGTTCTGCCTCATTTATTTCCCCTCCCCTCCAGGGCAGGATGCAGTCTTCAAACCACCGGCAGAGGGACCTGGAGCAGCACCACCCGCTGCTGTCGGCAGGAGCAGATGTGGAGGCAGGGAGCCTGGCAGCGGGGGTGATAGTCGGGGGTCCCACCGCTGGCCACGCCGGGGGGGCCCGCACACTGTGGTTCATCCAGGACAGCTGTGGGATGGTGTGTGCCGGCATCACCTGGTTCCTGGTGCTGTACGCTGAGTTTGTGGTGAACTTTGTCATGTTGCTGCCCAGCAAGAACTTCTGGTACTCGCTGCTGAACGGGGCCACCTTCAACTCCCTGGCTGTGCTCGCTTTGGCCTCACATCTGCGCACCATGTTGAGCGACCCGGTAAGGAAGTGAAGGGAATCAAGAGTGGGTACGGTTGAAGATGTAGATGGAAGAAAGTGGGGAGGGAAAGAGGAGGAAGACAGGGTTTGAAAAGAGTCCAAAAGGGGTAGAAACATAGTCAACATTTTCAGCTTAAGATAAAAAAAGAAGACAATAAATACATTTGGAGCTCCTCAAGACTTTCCAATCAAATACATTCATTTAAGAACAGTATTAAAGGATTTTAACCACATGTTCCCAGAAAGTAAAAGGCCCAGAAACGTAGTGTTTGCATTTCTATCACTTCTGCAAATGCTTTTCTTGTTTTATTATTTAAGGGTCATAACAATGAGAACTTTTGCAGATAAATGTTCCTCGTAAAAATGTACTCATTTAGTTAGTTCCGTGGACAGCTGCTTTAAAATCTTGTTGTGTTATATTGAGCCTATGATATTTTTGTTTACCCTTCTGTTATAATGCCGTTGGTCCAGATAACAGGTTCTTTAATGCTATATTAATGTTCTGAATGCAGTCTATATAATATAAACGCTAAACCTTTTTCAACATCCTAAAAACAATTGTTAAATTGCTTCAAGCACAAAGACACAGCTTGACTTCTCTGAGACATAATGGTACAATTCATTTATTTGGACATTTGTAACTGAGAGCATTTGTCTTTGTCTGTCTTCCCCCACCTTAGGGTGCCGTTCCTAAGGGCAACGCGACCAAGGAGTACATGGAGAGCTTACAGCTGAAGCCTGGAGAGGTCATCTACAAGTGCCCAAAGTGTTGTAGCATCAAGCCTGAGAGGGCACACCACTGCAGGTCAGTCTAATGGATACACAGAAACCAGTTGGGTCATTTACACCAGCTGTTAGCATCCAAATTATTCTTTTTAAAACATCTGTATATGCACATTTTTGTGTAAACAGCATCAGTGTTTTCTCACAGAATTTGATTCTATTTGTGGGGGAACCCCCCCCCCCCCCCCTAACCTATTCGGGTGGCACACGCATCCACCCCCCCCAAAATACATGCGAGTTCATGGTTTCTGTAGCAGACAACATTCTTGTTGCTCTGTGTTGCGTTGTTAATGAGTGAGACACACGGGAGTTGAGGATCTGTGGGGTTTATTCTCCCAACAATATAACTTACAATTCAGGCATTTAGCAGACGCCTTATTCCAAAGCGACTTACAATGACCAATTACAGGGACATTCTCCCTGGAGTAACTGAGGGCTAAGTGCCTTACTCAAGGGCACACTAGTAGTGGTGTTCCAGGCGGGATTTGAACTCGCAACCTTCCGATCATCAGCCCACCTCACTATCCAAAAAATAAATAAGAATTTAAATAAATAAAAAATAAAAAATGAATCAATGTATGGGAAACACTGACTATAGTTGAGTACATTTGTAGAATCAATGTTTCATCCATTAACATCTTCTCTCTCCTGCCGGCAGTATTTGTAAAAGATGTATCCGGAAGATGGATCACCACTGTCCCTGGGTCAATAACTGCGTGGGAGAAAAGAATCAGAGATTCTTTGTACTTTTCACTGTAAGTACACAGAGTTTATGGATATGTTGATTCCTTTTGTTCACTTATAATAACTGAATACACAAGTCATCAGCCGCCTTGACACCAAGTGTAATTACCTGTCTTTTAACCAGAATAGAGGGGGAATTGTTCATTAGTCCCATCCTTTAATGTTCCCACTATAATGAAATGACCAGCTGAGGTTCACAGTAATGTAGAGCACAGCAGGCCGACATGAAACGCACACTGATAGCCATTCATGACTCAACATCAGCACTTTTTATATGGCTTTATATGCTGACTGGATTATTTTAATGAAAGGAATATAAAGCTGTCATGTATGGTTTAGCAGTACGGGTCAAATGTGAGATGAAATGTTTAGTTTGCGTTCCATACAGATTAAAAACTCAAAAAACTCAGCACAACACGTTTTAACTGCATGCCAATATGTTTTATTAAATGTGAATATAGCTAACTAACATTAACACGGCATCTCTAAACCCAGATCGAGAATAACTTCTTATTTTTTCTCTTCTCTCTGTCACTTTTTCATTATTTCCCTGCCTCTCTTCTGATTCCTGCAGATGTACATATCATTGATTTCTGCCCATGCCCTGGGTCTCAGTGGTATGCACTTCTTCACCTGTATTAAAGTCCAGTGGAACGGTAAGCTGCCTCTTTGTGTCGACGTTGACATGTGTTTTAGTCAGAATGACAAACACAGGATGTCACAGAGATGAGTCAGATGAGTCATGCAAGAGACTGGGGTACTTTAGAGATGAAAAGAGACAGAGCAGAGTGGAGAAAAGCTGCTCTGCTGCATTGATCTGTTCCTGCTCCCTTGTGGGTCTCTGTAGGAATTAACCTGAAAATGAAGACCGTATTTCTTTCCTTATACTCCAACCTCTGCTGCCCTGTACAAAATGAGACTCTAAGCAAGAACATATATTCAACTGATTTGAAACAGGGTGTCCGCGGGGTCTTAAAAAGTATTACAAGTTGATAAATCAATTTAGCGAAAATTAAGGCTATTAAAAAGCATTAAATGGCATTTTCCAAGGTATTACATTTTGTAGCTTGTTTTCAATAAGTATATAAATTGTCCAAAGAGGTTGTATTCTACAGTCTGCCTGAATGTAATCATTGCATAGGTTTGTAGTGGATTCTGTGTAGTTTATTTATGGCATCCCGTTGGATTTCACGTCCTCTGAACAGGACATCGCACGCTCACTGCTTGATAGCGCGCGAAGGTCCGTTTACGCCGGTTGTTAAACAACATCGTTATGGGGAAATGCAAGTTTGCGTCCAAATGGTTGGAAGATAAGGAGGAAGGACAATCAATACTGTATATAGTAAATGCGAGGTGAAGTGTGTCGCCAATGTAACCGGTTATTCGAAGTGGCGATGAGGTTAAAATGTATGGAAAGGGTCTTAAAAAAGGTCTTAAAAGGTATTACATTGACTTCAGGATTCCTGCATATACCCTGTGAAAGGATACAGCAGTCAAGTTTATACTACAGCTCATCCCTTGTTGCATAGATTCAGTTCAGTTTTTTTGTATGGATTCAGTTTTCCATCTTGTTAGTCTGGTAACAATCTTTTAGGAGGATACATTGGAGATACTGTATGCACATCCAGTCCTATATTAATATTTGCATTTTTATTTAGTCAGTTTTTCACTTGACATTTCAGTTTTTCACTTGACATTTCAGTTCTTCAATAACAAATCCCCTTATCTCCTCTTCTCCTGTGACCAGAGTGCAGTGCCTTCTCACCCGGGGCGTCTGTGCTCCTGCTGATCTTCCTCTGCCTCGAAGCAATCCTCTTCCTCACTTTTACAGCTGTGATGTTTGGAACGCAGCTCCACTCCATCTGCAACGACGAGACGGTCAGTTTCAACAGCTCTCATGGGCTTTTCCCCTTTAGGGTCACTGTCAAATTAAGTTGTTTTAGAAATAGATTAAAAGAGAGCTGGACTCTGGATAAATACCTTTTAGTCTCATCAACTATGTTACCAGTGTTATTGAATAAGCATGTATACCAGGGGTGTCCAAACTACGGCCCGGGTGCCAAATGCGGCCCGCGGACCATTTTGAATCGGCCCTCAGCAAAAGTATAATGACTTAAGTATAATACATTTCTGCTTGTCTTATGTTGTACTTCTTAAATATATATGTTCAAATATAGTACACAGTATTCATGTATTATTAAGCCCAATTTTCAAATAAATTCAGTCAATTAAAGTTGGAAACATTTTCTAACAAATCTAAGTTGATAAGAAAAAAGCCCAATGACTTATTTATATAACAAGCTTGAAATATACCCTTCATATTTCCTCTTATGATAATCAATCTGAAGCTTCTGTTTTAAGGAATGAGCTGCTAACAAAATAAAGTAAACCCTCTGGAGAGATGTGAGCTGTTTTTTTCTTACAGCATTTTCAAGTATCAAGAATAATTGACCTACATTGGATAGATTTGTCCAACTTATAACTGAACTTAAGAGGCAATATACCTCTAGGGAGTGGCCCAGCCCTTCGTATATCTTTCTGTATGTGGCCCTCGGTAAAAAAAAGTTTGGACACTCCTGGTGTATACCCTACGGTTTACTTTCAGTTTTCTCCCAATGCTAATACGGTTGTGTATGTTAGAATTCTAACAGAAAACTTAATGAGGAATCTTTTATTCACAGAGGCGTTTGCATGTCTTGCAGGAGATTGAACGTCTTAAAAATGAGAAGCCCACGTGGGAGCGCCGCATGAGATGGGACGGGATGCGAGCCGTGTTCGGGGGGTCGCCCTCCCTGCTGTGGTGCAACCCTTTCACAGGCCTGCGTCTGAGGCGCCTCTTGCTGCTGACCTACGGCCGCCGCGGGGGGGCTGAGTTCTCCGTCTGAGAGCAGACTGATGCAGCTCACTAACACCAAGACCCTCTCTAAAGCAAGATTTCTTGATTGCCTTCCTTAGCCATGGACAGGATGGACCTCTGCTCCCGGAGGCTGTGTTTTGTGGGTGACAGGGAGACACGCTGCTCCTCCAGTGGGACCACAGTCAATCACTAACCATGACTGAAAGTGTGTATTATCACTCTAATGCTGATGTGTACCCAACTCCTTGGGTATGCACGAGTATTCTGAACAACTGGAATATTGTTTCTTTTTTCGTTTCTCTTTTTAGGTAAAGCATGCAGTATTTACCTCAAGTGAGTCTTTTATTCCTTGTGAGATATCCAACTCAACTCATGCATCCTCAGTACACAACTTCAGCAGCTTTTTTTCTTTTCAGCGCTCATACTGTAAGATTCAAGATAAGTGTTTGAATCAGCAACATATCTTTCATCATCACTGGACGCAGACAAGTGGATATCAATGGGGAAATGCTTGAAACCCTTCTATTGGACCCAGACAAGGAAATCACTGTCAAGGACATGCACAGACATGAGAGAAACTCGATGTGGAGCACAGTGGACATCAGAAATTGAACTGTGCTGCCTTGATTTGCATGTAAAACAGCTCAATCAGTCAGCGTCTCAGCCAGGAAATGAGACTGTCACTCTCTTCAACTGAATGAACAGGCTACTCTAAACACAAGCCTCATTCTTATTCAAGACTGAAGGGCCTTTCCTGTCCGTTCATCTTCTGTCTTGTTTTTTATTCATTGGACAGGAATTGTTGTTTCTTTAGGTTACTCATGCCAGTAGACAAACATAATTGTCCATTTCATTTTTACATTTCAGTACAGTGAACCCATCTTGTGTTGATTATAACGACAATCTGAATCTTCTTTCGGACAAAAATCCAAGTTTTCTTAACTGCCAGTGAACCCCCCCCCCCCAGACCACTGCAATGCCTGCCTGTGTTTTTATAAAGACGTGATTCAGTTTGAACCACGTTGGCTGCTGAAAAGACTGACAGTCATGACGTTTTAATTGTTTTGCTAATACATAGTTGTCTCTGAACTCTGAAAGCTACTTCTTTGTAAAGTAGAAATACTTCATAGCATTAAAACTCTGAAATCACCATCGAGACGGATGCAAGTTACAGAAAACGTGGCGTTGCATGCTGCTTTGCTACTGAGTGTTCCGACATTTAGAGAAGGAGAACCTAAATCACTAGCACAACCTCCTCTGGCTCTTTGTGAGTTCACTCCGATCTGCAGAGCCAAGCTCCTTTGTTCAGTCAGCCGTGTTAGAAAGGAGCTGCTTTGCTGAACGAGTCTGAGGCACCAGGCTCATTATACGAGCTTTAACACTGAACAAAGTCTGGCCGAGCTCAGCAGATGCTTGCAAGGCCTTTCCTACTACACTTCAGAAATATCAGGCCTGTACATCGAGTAGCAGATATTTTCCCAATTGTATTAGAACCCTTATCCATGGCTTTAAAACCATACAGTAATGTGAGTTTGCCTTTGAAAGCTTTCATCAGTATTGCCATATTCATGAAAGTGTTTTCATTTTGTGACAACTTGTCTCCTATTTGTATTCTGCATTACCAATGGGTCTGTTTGCACTGGATGAATGTGTCTTTTTTTTATCTCAACTTCAGGCTCCCGTTTGATTGGCTGGTGTTGAGTTGTCACATATAGATTCTCAAAGTCTCATTTTTTTTGATGGCGTGTTGGACAAAACCCTGCTGTTTGTCCTGATCTGTGGTTGGCAGGAGAAGGAACTCAACTGTTTACACTAAATGATGATATCTGATGTGCTATGGGACACAGCACTGAAGCTAAATGATATCAGGGGATGTTATTAACGCTTCTCATTCTCATTCAATGTTGGGGTAATATCACTATCCTATTCATATCCTACTTTTTCTATATTCAGCATGGTTCATTCAGTAAGTCCCGTACCCTGACATGCTAAATACATTGTATCATTTATGAGGTGCAAAATAAAGGATGATAAGTTCAGCCTAACACACAGCATATGCGTAAATATGCACATGTAAAACAGTCAGGAAAAGTCATGCTGTTTAGTTTACTAGATGCACACTGTAATCAAACAACAGCTGTTATTACAAATAGTTGCAGGTATCGATGGCAAAAACGACATCCATAAGAGGACTAGAGCATTATATAACAAAACACAGGACATTGGAATATAATAAAATATCTGAAGCAGGACTTGAGGTAACAGAGGCTAGACTAACACACTGTTAAACTTGTAATGATATGTGTAGGAAGTAGCAGAACATCAGTGCTAATGATGGATTGTGTTGACTGTATGAATATTTGATGTTGACTGGTTAAATGTGGGTAAGCTTGGTTGATCTAAGTAGGATGGTCCTGTTTCATGGCTCAACTCAGATGCTGTAATTATAGAATCTTAAATGGGTGTCACGTTACAGGGTATGTAGTTTTACATTCAATCAATCAAGACTTTTTAAATTCTGTTAAGTGTTTTTTCTTAGCCTCCTGCTGTTTGACTCATTGAAGTACAATCATGTGGAGAGGGGTTGTTTGACAATGTACAAACATGTGAAACTGATAAGGGTTTTACTAGCTCTTGTTTGCAGGAGATTTGGGCAGAAAATGTGAACATTGTGTGATGTTGATTGAATATTCTTAACATGATGTTCGTTCACATAATTATCATTCAAATTGCCAGTTGAGACAAATGGTGTGTCCTACTCTCCTAGGAGAAGGTAGCCTCAAGAACAAAAGTCCTTCAGCTTTATAAACAGAGTATAAAGGTTATTATTAACAATATATAAATGGAATGTTTTTTTTATTAATGTGTCATAATCTTTAATGTCTTATATCTTTAATGTCATTCTTTTACATAATAAACTTGATTAAATTAAAGCTGTAGATTTTGATTGTCTTTCACTGTCAGTTGGATGTTTTGATTTACATAAAAAACCCTAGCCCTTTGTATATTATGCATTTCATCCATCAGGACCAAAACCTCTCGCCATCTGAACAGCTTCTTCCCCTCCGCTACCAGCCGCATCAACAAGGCCCGGGACCCCCAAACTCATGGGCGTCACTTTGTTAGAAAAAGTGGTGGGGACAATTGATCCAGATTTAACATCAGCGTTGCAGAAGACAAAAGATGTCCTTCCCCCTGGGTGTTGAGCCTCGAGCACCTGCATAGGTCTTACTGGCATGTGATTTTGAGTGAATTTGTACTTGTATGCACACAACTAGCAGCCAGGTATAGAGGACAGGACATGATACCCTGGTAGCCTTGTGTTTTCTGAACAGATGTAAAAAGATGTATGCAAACTCGTTAAACGTTTGTATTTGTGGTGTAAAAAATTGAAAAAGGTAGAAAGATATTTAGTCTTAATTCCAGACAATGTAATTAAAATTATAACAAAAAATAATAATAAAATACAAAATGTAAGAATAATAATAACAAAAATGAAATAATTTCATAACAAATTATAATGACAATAAAGAAGTCACAAGTAAAAATACAACGAATAAATAATTAAATAAAAAAACGAGGGATACCATAATAAAATAAAATAATAACTAAAATAATCATAATAATGATAAATTGGATTTATATAGAATTTATTTGAATTTATATAGAATTGATATATTAAAAATGAATAAAAATATATTTAAATAATACAATTTAAATTCAATTCAATCAAATAATGATATAAAACATAGTACAATCATAAAAATGTACTTGGAAAATATATATAAAAATATTTAATATGAAAAACACAAAAAACAATAAAGTGGTAGAAAAATAATTAAATACATTGCTTTTAAAAAACATTTGTATATACAATTTGAACAAATTATTGAATTAAAATAACAACTACAATTTAGTTTTGTAAATGGGGATGTGATCTAATCATTTCAAATCAATCCTGTCTGCTCAAGCTGTTGTATAGCTCAGTGCAGGCACACCATATCTAGGTCTCTGCGAGACTTGGGTTCGACTCCCGAATATGGTAGAAAAAATCTCTCTGGCCATAACACATGGTTTAAAAAATAAAAAGTTGCTTAAAGAATGTTCACTAAAATTAGGCAAATGCAATAATACATTTTTAAAAAACTAAATCCTAAAAAAAAGTATCCAAAAGCAACGCTGTTTTGTTAATTTTTTCAAATAAAAAAGACAGTCTCGTCATCCTTGCTGCAGTCCAGTAGGTGGCAGTAGGCGTTAGATCTGCCAATAGGTGTGGAGTGAAAGAAAATGTGGAACACATCATATGATATTACACTGCAACATGTACAAAACAGAGAGGGAAAAACGAAGAGACAGGGTCAGAGAGGCAGGAAGGGAGTGGAGCCTGATGGGGATACTGGGAACAGAAGGTGAGGGGATAAGAGCTACCAGGAAGGCCATTCTTAAGTATTTGAGTGAAACAGGATTGATTGGAAGAATTTAAAACAACGTAAACACAGTGGTATAATTCCACAAGTGGTGATAGGATGATATGGTGATACACACTCTTGTACAGTAGGTGGCGGTATGCACCTTACAGTTGTTTGCAATCCGCCAAAACACCGAGAGAAGAAGAAGAAGTAGGTAGAGTGGGACATTTTTCACTGTATGAAGACTTTCAGGTAGAAACATTTTCAAAGCCCTGATCAAATGCCATCTGTTTCATGCTACAGTCTATGGTTTCATTTGAATTTGACAGATCCTAAAGGGGTATATTTCAATTACATGTTGACACCTCGAGTATATTTACCGCTTTTGAAGGATAACAGTTGTGGGGCCGACTAAGGACTCGCTGCCTGAAAAACTAAACTCAGGGTATATATACGCACTTGGTTTCGATTTGCCTCCCTTTCACAAACGGATGGTTTACCACAGACCTCTGTTGTTGCTTTTACATGTTGTGGATATGGCGGCTAATAGCCAAGTTTATATGGAAGCGTTTGTAAACCACTGGATAGTCGACTACTATTCAGTCCTTGCCATAGAGCTGTTTAAAACCAAGAAATACGAGGACTTCTGCGGGATTGTAGCTATACTTGACGGTAAGTAACAAACTTGTGTTTAGTTTCTTACCCGCCAAACTATTAGCTAGCTTAATGTGTCCGACTCAGACCAAGTTTGTAGTTAACTCGCTTTTTTATTTAGAGTATTTACAGTGTTTATTGTGCTTAAAGGTATTGCCCAAAGACATAAGTGTTAAGTGGTGACATTTGAATGTGCGTAACCTATAGATGGCATTATTATCTTGCAGTTAGCTCATCCATTCAGAAAGAGTCATAAAAAGTCCCATAAATGAAGCTCTGAGAAGTGGCCGTGCAGAGGTGTATAGGTTTAACAGTCGTGCCTTTTCACAACAAACCGATTATCACATGCTATTTTTAAACAAGCAATTGTTTGGATGTCACTTTCAATTAAGCATATTGTTTGTTATTGGGTTTGGAGAATAACAATAAAGGGAACTTTGGGAATGTGTAAGTCTACAGATATCTACACATCTATGTATGCCCATCTTCTTTTATTTCTTATTTTGTATTTTACTTTTATTATTTTAATTCCCATGTATATACCATGTGTAATATCTGTGTTTCTTTTTATTCTGTTACTGCCTTGACACGTGAATCTCTACGTTGCTTATTAAAGGTCAATCTTATTTTATGTACTTGAACAAAAAAAGAAATATATGTAAATACATTCTGTAGCGGCTTCATAATAAAGAAATACAACAGAGAATTTAACTAAAAATAAACTGACTCTGGTGCACCAGTAAGCGAATCTCACGCAGGAAAATACTCAAAGTCCAGGCAGGCAGGAAAAGTCGTCTTTGTGTATTTATTTCATCTAATTCCAATAATCCAACAAACAATGGTTTCACCACAGTGTTTTCCCTGGTACAAAAAAAAACGTTGCTTCTTCTGGTGGGCCAATCCCACCACCACCTGTCTCCAGTACATAATCACCAGTCGCCTAAATCTCCCAGTAACCAAAACCACCTTCAAAATGTAAGCATAAAGAATTACTTTAATCAAATAAAATGATACAATAAATAATTATTAATTTAATATTTAAAAAAAAAACAGCTACAAATAAATGTTGAATTTTCAGATAACATAAATCAATGTATAGCTCCAACACATTCATACCATTATCCCAGAGTTACCAGCATATCAAATTTCACATTTCCCCCTCTATCCCCCCAGGTGGCCTTTTAATTACATCCAATCGAGTTCGGAATATTTACTTTCTATCTGAATGTATATTATTTTAGGGGAATTAAATGTTTATCATCTTGTTACAGGTATCTTGACCCGTCCTGTTTACTCTTCCGAGGTCACGCCAACAAAGATACGAGTATTGCACTTTCTCGCCCGGATAAATGAAGGGGAAAATCTTGGTGAGTTCAACCTTGTTGCATATCATCAACGTAACATTAACTTTGTCAACAAATGTGTGTTGCTTCATTTCATTTAGTAGTAACGAAGTATATCATCTAGGTACAACCCCGACAGCAATACATTGTTCTGCAATAGTTCAACTAAATGTTGTTTTGCATTGTCTCATATTTCAAGATGTAAAATGTTATAAAGTATATCGTACTTAACAACACCATATTCAAGGTTTTTCCCTAAATCTGTAATACAACTAGCATATTGTGACCAAAATGCGATTCAAAGGTTTTATCGTCATGACATATACAAAGCTACGGTGTAATTATGTAATGTATGAAAAACTTAGATTGCAGGTTTCTCAACCATGCAATTTAAGACATAAAAAAAAACAGCAGTAAACTCAGGTGATCAATATTCTTATGGCCTGTGGGATGAAACTGTCCCTGAGTTTTAGTCCTGATGCTGCGGTAACGCCTGCCAGACAGCAGGAGACAGAACAGTTTGTGGCTGGGGTGATGGGGGGTCTTTAATAACCCTGTGGGCTTTCTTCCTGAGCCGCTGGGAGTAAAGATCCTCCATGGATGGCAGCTCCGCCCTGGTGAACACGGAGAGCACGGCCGGGGGTGCCATCAGGTCCAGGAGCCTTGTGTGGATGAACCCTTTTAAAGGATCTTCACACATCTGCCCTGTCTAAAACAAAAGGGCAGGGCTCCTGGGCCGTCTGTACCACCACAGCAGTGACTACATGTTTGTCTTTGTCTACAGATGTGGTATTTGAGCAGGACCCGTCAGTATCTCCTCTGGAATCGGCCTTAAAGGTGCTGGAAAGTATGGCCAAGGACTGCAGTACACCACTGCCAGAGAGGGATTTCGATCATGCAAGCGCTTCACTTAAAGAGATGGTAAGTGGGTTTCTTTTGTTATGATAATACAACTTTCTTTAGACGGTTTAGTCTGATTTGATTTTACCACCTGTTTGTTTTTTGTTTTTTTATTAGATGGTGAGCCTGTTTATCAAAAACGATGAGTTTGACAAGGCAAAGGAGGTGCTCAACAAACACTTTCCTAAACCAAGGGTGGGCAAGGTTAGTAAATGAAATAGAATGGCATGTTCACTGAATAATATCATAATTGTGTTCGAGTCAAATCAGCAGTATAGTCCTTTCTTTCTGTTGTAAATCCCCCTGCCTTTTTTGGCCTTAAGTGGGATCAGGTGTGGCCTGGTAGGTGGAGGCTAAGCCCCGCCTCCCACAAGACCAAAAATGGCAGAGGGATTTACAACACTTTCAATGTCACAGGGTTTTCAAAGGATGCCCAAGTTGGATTTGTTTTTAAAGTTCCAAAGAGCAATTGACTTGGTTACATACTTGATTACGTACTTGATTACGTAGAGTTACACACCTCCATAGAGGGTAAATCATGTCTTCTGTTTAGTCTTTAGCTGTGTGTCAACACATTTACCTACCTTATCTGTTCTCGGAAAGTGTGGAGACTTGCAGGTATGGTGA